CTCTGATTTGCTCCAGTACCTACTTGTGAACACTATGCCAAGACGGCTTCTACTTGTGACGCCCCCGACGTAACCCGACCTCAGATTCGTTGATTCCACTGCTGACAGGCGTTTCAACCCATGGTCGTACGTCTTTCCTTACTACTCCATACGTAACTACTTAGACAAGATCAGTTTCCCCTGCAAGGACACAGCTGCAAGCTTGTTCTTCTTAGCTAAGGACCGCATAAACCACAATATCGCCCGATCTCTTTTTGGGTTTTCTCTAGACATCACGTTCTTCCTCTAATCGACTTTGATCATGTGTCGGACAGACGCCTTCATCCCAGACTTGAGAGCGGGGTTAGAGAAGTACTTGCGCTGAAAAAGCACCGAATTTCGCTCCTTCCATATCCACCAAACCACCATCGTCCGGATTGACACTGCTACGTAGCCCCAACCTGTCCCAGAATCGAGTGAGTCTGGAAGTTTGTCAATAGGAGCCTATTCCAGGTCCCATGTGATTTCCTTCGGTCCCCCGAATTGCTTCCAGTGGTATTACCACCATTTCCACATGCGTAGGGAGAGTGGACAGGAACCCCACAAATGTATAGCTGATTCATGCTGGCGGCGGCATCTTGTGCATTGGACCTCCGTATCCATTCCCCTGAGGAACAAGGATTCTACATCCAGGGGGGGCGCATGTGTAATTAACCATACAATGGAGGCGCACTTAGTGCTTGACAGTCTTCTACAGATCTTCCAAGTCTCTTTATAGTACTCCACCGAAAGCTCAGTCTCATTTAGGGCTTGAGGGTGGGCTTCATGAATCTTCACCAATGTGTTGCCTCCCTGTCGTAGGATGTTAATACCTAAGCGGGAAGAGTACTGGTGGAGCTCCGGTTTCTTTTTCGCATCTGGCCAACCATAATGACACACATCTAGCTTCATCAGTTTGATTGGCATCCCTTTCATATGCAGGACTGGTTGAGGAGTCCCGCCTGCTTATAATCTTATGTATACGCGTACTTCGTCCATCAAAGCCCGCCCTTTCATCCCCCTCTCTTCCTTGTACTGCAGCCCGCCAGTATGCAGTCCGTTTCTCGTATGCTGCTCCCATACTGCCGCATATTCATTGTCGAGGCGTTTGAAGATCAAGACATCAGAGTCAGTGTTGAGCACCAATTGACACCACTGTACGGGGGGATTGTCCCCTCGGAGCAGTGACTTCCAATCGTCCGACATTGCACTTATTAGCTCCTCCCGTCTCACTTCAGCGTGCCAAAGTCTGCCCAACTGCGATCTGAGGCTCTGAACTGACTTCCATTCCTCCTGGAGATTGTCACACAAGTCTTCCACTCTTAGTATCCCACGCTCTATCCACGCTCTCCCAAATGAACCTTGACGAGATGCTGCACACATCGAACCGTCTTGCCTGCAGATCCTCGGATTTTCAAAAAGGGGTTGGCTTAGCACCTTGTCCCGGGTACTGGGTGATTTCAGTGTGCTCCTCGATAGTGATTTCCAGGCCTGAAGGACCCCTTGAAAAAAAAGAGACTTAACCCTACGCCTTTGGTATGATGGGATTGCGAGCAGAAGCCACGTGTCCTCACCTCTACACAAATCCCTATCTTTTGCGAAATTGTACTCCGCCAATGTCACCCAGTTGCGTCCCTCTGTATCTTGTACCGCTCTGACTGACCCTTTGCATAGCAAGGCCGTGTTCTGTCTTTCTGGGTCCAATGGGCCCAATCCTCCCTCTTCCTTGGTAGCGCATAACTTATCCCATGCCATCCTCGACATATGACCCTCCCCTTCCTCCACGTCCAGTTTCCAAATGTATTTGGATGCCAACCTCTTTTAATTATCCCTTTTGCCGCAGGCTTGTTTATACATCTAATCGAAGTTGCATACCACAGTTGGAAGAAGACTGAGACGTTTAAAACCAACGCCCTCGCAAACAGTGATAGGTCGTACACCGCTTTCCATTTCTTAAGGCGTTATTCCACCTTCTCGAGCAACAACTTATCCTGCACATTCTTTAAGAGTTGTTCTTAAGTCGTTGTTCCACGTTGTTGAGGAGTACACCGCTTTCATTTTCTTGAACCGTTGTTCCATATTGTTGAGGTGTCTGCTCGATAATTGTTCTTTGTTCCACATTGTTTTTAAGCCGTTGTTCCACAATGTCGAGGAGTACGACCATTTGCATTAGCAAAAGGAGCGGGGCCAAGGGGCAACATTGTCGTAGTGACCGAGTCAAAAGAAGGGCTTGGGAGATTCTGCCATTGATCATAACAGAGGCGGTAGCATGGAAGTACATGGCTTTGACCCAAACACATAAGTTTGGACCAATCCCCATATGTCTCAGTGTCGCAAGCACAAATGTCCAACCGACCCTGATATATACCTAGTCCAGATCGAGGAGGAGCACCGTCATATCCAACTATTACATGACAATCATTTCCATTGATTCGATTATTGTGACAATATTGTCCAAAATGGACTTCCCTTTCACAAAGGCACGTTGACCCACCCCTACCAACCCAAGTAAGAATTCTGCTAACCTCATAGCCAACGTTTTGACCACCATCTTGTAGACTGGGTTGAGTAGGGAGATGGTTCGCCAATTGTGTATAATGCTTTAGTCTCATTTTTTGAACAACAAAGTTATTACCCCTTTCGTCATGGTAGTGGGTAGTTTAGTGCCTAGTAGGACTGCATTGTAGGTTTATACCAGATCCCGATTGAACAGGCTCCGGAAACAGAGAAAAAACTCGATTGGGAGACCGTCCTCACCTGGGGCCTTCTCCTTGGTCATCTGATTGGCTGCGTGAGGTAGTTCCTCTATCGTAATTGGTTTGTCCAATGCTAGGCACCCTTCCATAGGAATTCTTGCTGAAGTGTTGTCCCAAAATGATGAGGACTCAGTGAGATTTTTGTATGCGTCTTCCGACGGGTTCCTAGAGGACAGGATGTCCTTGAAATAGGTGCATGCAAACTCACACATTCCGATAGTCTCAGAGGATTTGTGCAGGTTCGGATCAAAGGGTGCGCTAACATGAGTCTATCTTGGGGGGTCTGACGGTTTACCAAAGCAAACGTTTCTTTGGTCATGCAGTCCAACTTCTCCATCCCTTTTATTTTGCATTTCTCCTGCTGAACTTTTTCTTTTTTCAATTGTACTTCTCCCCATTTTAACAGTCAGTGCAACCTTTTCCCTTGCCCAGAAGGTGTCTGAGACGGGGTGTACGCCCATTGCCGACTCTGCCTCCTTGATTTTAGCTTTACATATACGTTCGTCTTTGTTTCTGAAGTGTGCCTTAATTGTTGAAAAAACAGCTAGGCCCTTTGAGATAATTCTAAGGCCGATTGACAGCCACTCCCCTGTGTTAGGGAACAAATCCTTCATCGACTGCCAATGTTGATTCTGCTTGGTTACCCACTGTACAATGTCTCGGTCTTTCAAATTTTCCACGTTCAAGCGGAAAAAACATCTTTCTCGCTTGATGCACATACCTGGAGCAAAGCGTGCGACCAGGGGGTAGTGGCCCGACAGTAAGGCCACATCTGGAGCGGCCAACAGGAAGGATTCCCATGCCATAACTCTAACAAAGATTATGTCTAAACGGCGCTGTTTTCGTGGGCATGGGTTTTTCCTGCTAGCCGGGTGCCACATGAAGCCATACTCGTCCAAGTGGGTTGCACGATAGGCATCTAGAGGGGATTCCCTCTCCGAAAAAGACATTAGGAATTTTGCATCTCTTCGAATCGGCTGTACTTCTAGCTTGTCAATACCAGGATTCAAGACGGTGTTCCGATCTCCCATAAGAACAAGGTTTTCTACGTCTGGAATAATGTCCATAGGTCTGCAAAAAAATGCAGTCTTCCGCTTCAATCTATTGGAGCATAAACGCTCATACACACCCACGACTCCTCTGCTATCATTCCTTTAATCCAAACCCACCTTCCCCAGTTGTCAAAACACTCATCTACCCATTCAAAATCTAGATCCTTGTAGATCAGAATTGCAGTGCCTCCTTTTGTGCCCTGTGTTGGGGCCCACAATTGTGGGCCATCCCACCAACGTCCAAGCTCCTGGATTTTATGAGCGTCGAATTTTGTCTTTTGGAGACAGATTATCTGCGCCCTCTGTTCATGAATCCAAGTTTTAAACCACCAGTACCTCCCCGTTGTTTTTTAGAAGTCCAAGTTTTAAACCACCAGTACCTCCCCGTTGTTTTTTAGAAGTCGCAGTCGTTAACGCGCCGCGACTTTTGGTGGTCGGGCAAGCCAACATCCGGTCGCTTGTTTAAAAAAGAAAAAATTAAAAAAAAAGGAAAGAAAGAAAGAAAGAAAAGAAAGCAAAAATCTCTCAGCGTGAGAGAGAGAGAGAGAGAGAGAGAGAGAGAGAGAGAGAGAGAGAGAGAGAGAGAGATGAATCTTACCGCTTTCAGACGGAAGATTCTTTCGCGATTGGCTGCATTCCAAAGAGAGAGAGAGAGAGAGAGAGAGAGAGAGAGAGAGAGAGAGAGAGAGAGATTAATCTTACCTCTTTCAGATCTGCCACAAAACCCCCTAACATTCCAAGAAGCGACCTTGAACTGGTTCATTGGGTGTGGGAGAGGTCAATATATGTATGGATTTGACCGTTCCCTGCGTTCCTGCGTCTGGACTGTGACTGTGGTGTTGGACGAGCTGAAACCCATCTCGAGGTGAGACTCTCTGAAGAAAATGAAGGAGAGTTTCCTGCCCTTCAACCCCTTGTTACATTCGGCCACGAAATCCACGGCCAGCCCATCTTCCAAGAGAATTCCAAGGTTGGGATTATCAGTCCTGTCGAACCAATTACCCGGAGGCATGGTTCGATCCTGTGGCGCTCGCGCGGCCGGCTTGAGCCCTGTGTTTCTCCCGTTTGAGCGCAGCGGGGGGGGGCGCGTGGACGGCCTCGCCCACTTGTCATTGCGCGTCGGTTGCTCCATACGGTTAGCTCAATTTTCCTGGCTGGTCAACGCTGGAGTACGGGAGCTCATTCTGTGAAGTGATCAGTTTCACTGTCGGGTCTGCCCTAGAGTGAAGGGGCAATGGCGTCTGCTAACGGCGCTGGCGAGGCGGTCGAGGTTGAGACGCAGCAGCAAGTTGATCCTATGGTGGAAGCGGACCAGAAGTACGCTGAGAGCTGCGCCTTTCTGAATGCGGAAGAATACGACAAGGCAATAGCCTCACTGAGTCGAGCATTGAAGCTGAGGTACGTCTCGGTATGGATTGGATCACTCGCCTTCACCTGCGAGTCCTCTCGATCAGGTCATATGACCAACGGGGAGGAGGTGGGGGGAAAAGAAAAAGAGAGAGAGAGAGAGAGAGAGAGAGAGAGAGAGAGAGAGAGAGAGAGAGAGAGAGAGAGAGANGAGAGAGAGAGAGAGAGAGAGAGAGAGAGAGAGAGAGAGAGAGAGAGAGAGAGAGAGAGAGAGAGAGAGCCGTCCGGGTCTTCGAGGCGTGCCTGTGGTCTTCAGAAGCCTATATACGTTTTCTGGTTCGAAATGTTTATTAGGATAATCAGATGAATTGAAAACAGAGTATCTACTATTAAATACTTAGTCATTGTCCTATTTGTGCTTGTCTGTATGCTTGGCTTCGAGAGGTATTCTCTCTGTTCCCGAGAAAGGACCGGACTTTTCAGGTTTGGGAAAGGTGATCAACTTGGTATGCTGTGTCGTTCTTTTTCCGCTTTCCGATTTAGCTCCTGACTCAATGATGGTCTGCCATAACAGCGAAGTGCAGGAGACGGGTTGTTTCATGCTGGGCCCTGTCATGTCATCCCCAACATGTATTCTTCTGTTTCCATCAGGATTCGAACTACCGGTAGTTACCCATTTGTATGAGAGGGGCCTGTTACCCCCCAACACGTGTAGCATTCTCCGAAAATGACCCTTTATGCGGCTTGTGTTCTGACTCTGTGGGCGTTAATCGGATCCCGTTATGTTTTTTTTATCAGAGTTGAGAAATTCGGGGAGCAATCTCCGCAGTGTGGAAGCGCGTATATCAAGTACGGATCCGCTCTTCTTCAAAAAGCGCGGTCGGAAGGGGATGTTCTCGACGAAAAGGCTGTGGAGTTAAGCGAAGCCGAAGAGGAGGCGGCGCAAATGCCTTGCGGTTAGTACGATTCCTCTTACCTCTGGTTTACTGCTCGCCTCGTTTTCTCCACGGTACACGGTTTTCGTCTCTCTTCCTTCCCTTTTCTGTTCTTGCCACTCTTTATCCTGTTCCGGTCGTTCATATTCTTCATCGTGTCTCCTCTCTTCCCCCCCCCTCCCCCCCCTTCCCCGCGCCCTTCTCTCTTGTCCTCGCTGTTATCTAACCCTTCCTATCGACCTCGGGCATCCCCTCTCTCTGGCCTCTGCCCAGCATCTTTCACTACTTGCTCCGTCACCCTTCCAAGCGGTCTCGGGTTCTCTCTCCCATCCTTGCGCGTCGTTCCAGCTTTCCACCGCTTGTGATCCCTCGCTCATTGGGGGTTTTGTTCTTCCTCGCCTCTTGGGGCCAGTAGTTTGGCTTCTGCTTTCTCTGTCTCTGGCCCTGTTGCTAAGAAGACATACTGTATGTTCCCTCGCTAGCACAACTTCCACCGGTTACGTTTGATTTTACCCCTCGGCCCTTGCAGGTTTTTTTTTTTCTTTTTCTTTTTTGACCCTTGCAGTTTTAAGAACCGCGTATCACTGGCTGTACCCTCTTAAAGTCTCTGAGGCCTCATCACCACATCCTCATTTCATCTACCTCGTTTCTCTCCACCGTCGCCCTTGTATGATCATATGTTTCATGTCCCTGGTTCGTGTTGTCATCTTTTGTCCTTGTCTACCTCATTTCTCTCCTGCTTCACCCTTTCTCTCGCCTTTCACATCGCCTTGAGTTGTTCCTTACATATCGCCTTTCATATCGCCGTTAATATCTCCTTTCACATTGCCTTTTAAGTCTCCCCCTTAGTTCCACTTTTAGTCTCGCCTTGCATATCGTCTCGTCTCCCCTAGGCAGCTGGTAGACGTGCGGGCTGCTGGGGGGTGGTCAAATGCCCTCTCCCTTCCTCCCTGTCTCTCTCTGTTTCATCTCGCCTTTGCACCCAGCTCCCCTTGTTCTTTGTCTGCCTTTCTGTCCATCTTCTCTCGCCTTCCCTCGGCCAGCGCCGACCTTCTCTCCGCCTCCGCCCACCTCCCTTCCGCCATTGGGATCACCAATCTCCCCTTAGCCTCCCCCTCTCTCCCGTCCGCCTCCTCCCGCCATGTCCTCTCTCTCTCTCCTCTCCGTCTCCGCCACTTCTCCTCCACCTCCGCTCACCTCTGCTCTGGGCTCCGTTCCTCTGCCCGCACATCCGCCATCCCACTGGACATCCCGTTGCCCGCCCCTTTTTTCTTTTTTTTGCTCTTTTTTAACAGTGCGCGCCCACCTCCCCTTGGCCTCATACGACCTCCTCTCCACCTCCGACGAGCTCCTGTCAGCCTCCGCCCACCTACCTTCCCCCATTGGGATCCATCTCCCCTTGCCCTCCGCCCACCTCGCCTCCTCCTCCTCTTGCCATCCGCTGCACATGCCGCGGTGCGCGCCAACCTCCCCTTGGCTTCCGCGGACCTCCTGTCCACCTCTGCACGCCTCTCCTCCGCCCACATTCTCTCCGCGCGGCAAAGACGATTCCTTGGGGGGAGAGAGAGAGAGAGAGAGAGAGAGAGAGAGAGAGAGAGAGAG